CTAGCTTCAGGCCCAGCCCAAAGCCTGAGCCCCAGCGCATCTCAGGGCATGCCAGCCACTACCGGACCCAGCCCAGCCGACCAGCAGGCTCAGCCCAGTGTGCCAAGGTCAGGTTTGTCTAACGTGTCTGAGAGTGGCCAACGACCAGTCTCACGTGTCTGAGACTGGTCTCAAGCTATGCCAGCTACTCAGCAGCCCAGGCTGACCAGGCCCCTTCGGCGCAGTCTGAGACTGGTCTCAAGGTACGCCAGCCTGAGACTGGCCTCAGGCCCAGTCCCTCAGCCCGCCTGCTGGCGTGTCTTACGTGTCTGCGACTGGCCTCAGGCCCAGCCTAGCCAGCAACTCGCTACCCAGCCTCAGCCCATCCAGCGACCCGCCCAAGCACAGCTCAGCCAGCCAGCCGAAGTTCCAGGCGCAACCAACACCATAATCCAGCTGCCCAGCACCACCCATGGCTTCGCAGCCTCGTGGCTGAGACTAGCTTCAGGCCCAGCCCAACCAGCAACCCGCCTAAGCCAACCCCACCCAAGCCCACCCGGTTTGAGACTCGCAGGCCTCAGCCTATCTAGCGCCGAGACTGGGCCTCACCAGCCTGGGCTCAACTAGCGTCTAGCCCAGCCCAGTCCGCCTGCAGGCCTGTCTGACGTGTCTGAAACTGGCCTCAGGCCCAGCCCAGCCATAGCCCAGCCCCCTCAGTGCGGCTGCCCAGCCCGCCGTAAACTAGCTTCAGCTCAACCAACAACCCACGCAAGCAAGGTCCAGCCAAGCTGCCCGAGACTAGCTTCAGGCCCAGCGCAGGCTTATCTGATGTGTCTGAGACTAGCCTGTGGCCCAGCCCAACCAGGCGAGACCGGCTTGTCTGACTTGTCTGGAGCCAGCTTCAGGTATTCGGACCTTCCCAACACTGGATTTCGGTGTTCCTGACCCTTCCCTCAAACTAGGCTGGGCCGAGGCGGGCAACGCGAAGCGTTTACAATTAGATTACCAGGTGCTGTGAGGGGTGAGGTGTGAGGTGGTGGCCGCAAACTGCCTTCTTTACAGAGCTTCCCTTTTCAAGGTGGCCGATAATACAGTCTCGCATATGCTGGAACAAAGGTGAGGTAGTGAGGTGGTCACCGCAATGACCATGTGGGACTCTTTCAGGTGGTGTCAGGCACGAACTATTTAGGAAATTTGGGGCTGCTGGTTGAGGCTAAGGCATGGTCGGCCAGGCGCAGGGATGTGGGAGGTTGAGTCAAAAGGCCATGCACAAGGGCAGGCCGCAGCTTCAATTATAGCCGTTGTAACCCAGGCAGTGTGGGCTCCTTGCATTTTCTGCAGCATAATTATCGAGCTAGGGCACGTGCTCCGAGACACTTGCTCTGAGATACTTGAGGGGCTTGACTCCGTGTTCAGCGGTCAACAAACTGGGAGGACCTCTGAATGCCTCAGATCAGCTCTTTTTCGCTCGCCTGGCGATGCTGCTTGCACCGCAGCGTGGCCAGGTCCTGCGGCGAAGCGCTTGGATGGCTGGGGAGGTGTTGTTGGCATCTTGGGCGGTGATCCAAAGGGCACCCAACCCTTTTGGTTGGTCCGGCGCAACCCTTTTGGTTGGTCCGGCACAAGCCATTTTAGAAAGGATCTGGATCAGTTTAGGTGGGGGACTCCTCCAGGATCAACATGAATTAATCAACTTCCAGGAGGGGAACAATGTCAACGTTTCGTACTTGATTCAACAGCAAGCGGGAGCCGGCGCCAGGGCAGAAAGCGAGGTGCATTCAGGGTCCCTGATGCTTGAAATCCGTACCTCCTGATGGGTGAATTCCAACCTCTTTGACTCCGGCCCTCGCCCTCGCCACCCCCCCCTCGGGTGCCACTACTTCATAAACCAAAAAAAATCCTGTGGCACGCTCGTCTCCCGCCTGCAGACACTTGACGTCCCAGGGCATGCCGCGGCGGCGGCATTCCTTGCGCGGGTGAAGCGAATAAAACAAACCTGCACTGAACGAGCAAATGGAAATGGGCGTCTCGCCTGGATCAAAACCTCAAAAACCCACAACAATGCGCTCCAGCGTGGGTTTGGAGAAGCTTCGCGTGCTTGTCTGGTTGATGAGAATGTGCGCTCACGGCCCTGCTGTTCGATTCCCCCACCAGACCCACTCCCTTCATGCTTTTGCAAGCGATGGACGCTTGCAAGCCCCTCATTTGCCGAGCCCTTGTTTGAATTAAATGCGGCGCTTTCTTTCCGACAATCACGAAAGTGGACAGGAGGCCTTCTAAAGATGAAAGTCGTCTTCCAAAACCCTCCTGTGCACTTCCAGAATTAAAAAAATGCTACCTCATGGCAGCTCTCAAACCCCGCCGAATTCCGCCATTGCTCCGATTTCGTGCCCTGGCCATCCGCCCCACGCCGAGGAGCACCGAGGACGCGGCGGTAGATGGCGTCCGCCTTGTCCAGCTCGTAGCACTTCACGCAGGCGAGGGCCAAGTCCAAAGCGGCGGTCAGCAGCCGAGGATTCCTGATTCCGCCAGTCAAGGCTCGCAGTTCCCGATGTAAAAGGGAAACCAAAATGGTTTTGGCTCTCTCTCTCTCTCTCTCTCTCTGTGCTTCGCCTCTCTCTCTCTCTCTCTCTCTCTCTCTCTCTCTCTCTCTCTCTCTCTCTCTCTCTCTCTCCCCCTTTTGATGCACCATGGTGCCCCTTGATTAGGCATGGTCAGGTAGTGCTGCTAAAAAATACTTCGCTATGGAAAAGGAAGCTTATCAAACAGACATGCCCCCGGCAAACGGACCCCTTGCCAAACGGGTAACCGCGTCTGATCGATCTGAAGGAGTTTGCGCTTTTATGGTTCCACGAAGCACTATACAGGCATGAGATCCCAATCCTCCACTCAACTGCCCAAAAACGACACTAGTAAGCAACAAACATAACTACGAGTACATATGTAAGGCGATAATTTGCGCAAGGTGTCTTGATGCCATCGGGTATTTCCTCCGCCATTTGCTTGAACTCCTTTGTGAACTTCCGCAGCACGCGGCGGTTCTCTTTATCCCCGTCGTTGAACTCATGCTCGGACCACACGAAATCCTCCTTCCGCAGCTCCCCGTCCTCCACCTCTGTCCCCAGCGTCGGAACTGCGGGCACCAAGTGGCCGCGACCCACGCCCACATCCGAGGCCCTCTTGGCTTCAGCCTTGGCCTTGGGGGCCGCCACCTTTGGAGCTGCAACCTCTGAAGGCGCCGCAGCCTCACTAGGCGCCGGCGCCGGCACCTTGGCTGCAGCCTTCGGCTTTGGGGAGCTGCTGAAGCGCACGGGCACCGAGGCGCCCGGTGCCGCCTGGGCGCTCTGCTGCAGCATGGCCTGGTAGGACTGCATTCGGACCTCACAGCAAGGGTTTGGGGAGGGGGTGGGCCGGTGGGAACCTCATTAACAAGGGGGGGTTCAGGGAAGAGATCTGCAGCTGGGGAACCTTGCGCCCCCTGTCCACGGCAGCGTTGGCAAACGGGGACGCGCTGCTGGATGTGCTGGGCGAGGTGCTGGGCTCTTTACCAGTCACAGTGCTTGGCGGTCTGGGCGCAGCTTTTGGTTGGCTGCCGGGGCCGGGCATGGGGCTGCCAAATCTTCCCAAATCGCGCCCCAAGGGAACTGACTCAAGAATACGGATGGCTTTGGCCCACTTCGGGTCCTCTTCTTCCACACCTCCTCCGTCAGTCACGAAGGAGTCGAGGTATGCTTGCAGGTCTGCCTCCTCCTGCGGCTGCTCGAGAGCAGGAAAATAGCCGACTGCCGGTGTGGCACTGGACACTGCTGAAGCGGCAGAAGGTGAGGCAAAGGAGGCAGCAGCAGCAGCAGTGGAAGCAGGCGAATGCTGAGCAGGCCCAGAGTTGGGTTTGGGCTTGGCCGCTGCCTCCAGAAGCCGCAGCGCCTGCAACCAGGGTGGCTCCTCAACGCTTGGCCCTTCTCTGGGAGCTGCTGGCGCCACCGGTGTCATTGGGGCTGTCGCAGGCGCTGTCACTGGCGCCTGCAGGGCAGGCATCCACTGAACCAAGCTGGTGCAACCGTGCCTACCCTCCTGCCCTCCCTTCAATCAACTCTGCCATCCCGCTCCCCGCGGAGCGAAGTTGTCGGCCCACCCACTCCCAGACCTGGGCCGTGGGGAAGCTCGTCCTCACCGATGCCTTCTCCGCCGGCGCCGCCACCTGCTGGGCCGCCGCCTCGCTCTGCCGCTCCAGCAACACGCCACGCAGCTGCTGGATCACCCGCTCGAACCTGAAGTGGCTTAAAACCTTCGGTGGTCCTGTTGCGGAGGTCAATGTATAGCAATTTTGACCCGGGAGGAGCCTTTGGAGAAGCACCTGGAATGAAGAGCAACTAATGAATCCTTAGCGACCTCGGTTCTACAGGAAAACTATTCTCGCGAATTTTGCCGCTTGGTTCCAGCCAGGTTCTGTCCCTTTGTCAAACAAACTGTAAACGACTCACGCCGCGGAATGCACGTGCCCTGAACAAATCCCCATGGAGCGTCTCCTATGGCCAACCCGTTACCCAGTAGGCAAGGTGGGTTGACCCAACTGAACAAAAGCAAAGAGGGTGCCATTGAACAACTGGGCCAAGGAACCAGGCGGTGTCGCCACTCTGAACACTCTCCGCTAGGGCGGCACAGGCAGACCTCACCTCGCGCTCCCGCGAGCAAATTCGGCGCACGCACTGCGCTGACAGCGCCGTGCGGTTTTTCAGGCGCCCCAGGGAGCAAAGCATGGCAAGAAGGGCACAGCCCAAGCACAGCTCGGAGCAACGCAGCTGGCAGCTTCACGCAACTCATGCACCTGAGCAATGCACGTTCAAACTGAGCTTTCGCCTGATCCTGATATGCAGGAAATCCTGAAGCAACTTGGGCCACATTTGGTGCTTGGTGACGTGATATGTCTGGGCATGCTCAGCGAACAATCGATCAAAGTAAAGTGGCCGGCTAGCTTGAGAATCAGTTGCCTGCCACAAAAAATGGCTGGCCCCATCCAGCGCCTTGAAGTGAGGAAGGGAGAGAGGTAGGAGGCCTGTGTGTGCGGCAAGGGCACGCCAATCTCGCAGACCTTATCCGAGGTGGGCCCCCTCATGATCCAGTCTGTGTGCAACCTGCGCATGGGCCATGGTGCACGGGGTCCAACAATTGGGCTGTGGGAGGGGGTCGATAACTCATCCTTGTCAGCCTACCATCGGCTGGTAACTTGACAATGGCAGGTGTAACTATGCGAGCGCGTCTGGATTAAGGTCGGCCTGCTTGAAAGAGAAACCAAAGGAACCCAATCACTTTGGGAGGTTCCCCCACTGACAAACAAACCCATTCCACAGCCGACGTCGACCTGAAGCGCCATGGGCCGAGCAGCTCGTAGGCCGTTCCAGCAGAACCACTCGTCGCTGTCTCCTGCGCCTGGGGCTCCCAGACCACCCGAGATCCCAGATTCTCAGATGGCTTGAGTCCAGTTGCGCTGAGTCTAGGAATGGAAGTTTACGTCAAGGCTGCCGCCTCCATGGCAAAATCGGGACGACACGACTAGGCAAGAGGTAAGCTGTTCTCAATAATTAGGAACCCAAGAATCATGCGAGCATCCGCAGCACGTGCACCCCCTGCTTGGACATAGGGCCAATACCGCCATGCATGCACACACACACACACACACCCACACCCACACCCACACCCACACCCACACCCACACCCACACCCACACCCACACCCACACCCACACCCACACCCACACCCACACCCACACCCACACCCACACCACACGCACACGCACACGCACACGCACACGCACACGCACACGCACACGCACACGCACACGCACACGCACACGCACACGCACACGCACACGCACACGCACACGCACACGCACACGCACACGCACACGCACACGCACACGCACACGCACACGCACACGCACACGCACACGCACACCCACACCCACACCCACACCCACACCCACACCCACACACACACACACTGTGTACTACCGCATGCAACAACTATTGAGCTGCCTGTGCAGCCCAAAGAGCACGAGTAGGTGTAGAGACGTGCAGCGAGCCTTGGCTACAAGCTGATAGCGCCGTTCCGAGAGATGTCTTTGGTGCATCCAAAGCACTCCTAACTTTGAAGACTGCCCCCTTCAAGTTTGAATGCAGACTCAGGTATGCTGAGAAGCTACCCTGGCCAACACCTGACACTTGCAAAAGGCTTCCCTCACAAAAATTGAATGCCCCCTCGGCAACTTCAACAAGGCGAATCGTGCTGAGGGTTTGGGCCACAAGCATGCCAGCCGAAACCTGGAGCAAACCAAAGGTCAAACGGTCAAAACGTTGCAAAGTTGGATGAAGAAACTTAGCAACAAAATAAACAATTAAACACAACTTGCTAAATAAGGGACGTCAGTCACTCCAGCACCCTGAAAACAAATCACCCTACGGACATAAGTAACAAGCAGTCAAACAAAAAAACAAGGAAGCCGACACTTGGCTAATGCTTGCCTTTCGCCAAGGCTCTCCACCTGGCAGGCGCACTTGTTGTCCTCAGAATATCTGGCGACATAGCTCCGCACCAGCGCTGGGTCCCCAACCTCACCGATTCGACTGACTGGCTGGCTGGATGTCGCTTTTTCTAGGTGGGTGTATTTTAACATTGCTCCCGGTTGCGTGGATTTGCGCGCGAATTGCGCGGAATTGCACCCGAAGTAGCGCCAAAATGCATTGGAAACGTAAAATCATAGGCGCCATTCCCGACTTGCCAGCCAGCAAGAACTGACTAAACAATGGCCACCAGGGACTGAGCTAAAAGAATAGGTGCTCTGACACTTCCACCAGGGAGCAGAGTGCAGTGGGAAGCAGCTGGCTGGAACCACTTGCTTAGGACGACGGGAAATTGGCCCTTGGAGGACCCTGGGCCCCCGACCCATGCGAGGGGGTCAGACTCCTTCCCACGGCTGGGTCGGCCGTAGAAAATGACCACCACCTTGGCAGGCAAGGGTGCAATCATCACTTTGATTGGGTTGCAACTAGCGCTAGCTCATGGGAGAATGGCACTTCCACAAACTGGGCAAGAAGGGGACATATGCTCTCCGTTTGCCTCACAAACTTTTTCTCTTCCCTCGCTATTGTCTGACATAATCTTCCTTAAACAGCGGCACAGCGGCCCTGCGATCTGACAGGGCTGAAGCTGGTGCCTGTGAAGGACTGCGCCCACAGCTCAGGAAACGATGTTGCAAAGGGACGACCCCTACCCCTTGGCTTCCCACACCTTCCCCCATCCGCATACCTACAAAGTTCATGCCCGGCGGCTGGGAGATCTAGGAACTCATTCATCTCAAAGACCTCGGCTTGGGCAGGCCTCCAGGTACTGTATTTTGGGTGAAGCCAGCTCCATCTCAACAGAGGCTTCCTTGTGCTAAGGACTGATCAAAAGGGGGCCCCATACAATGTACCGTACCCAAAAAAATCATGGGATGTCAAGCGGCCATGCTCCACATCTGCATCAAGCATGTGAAATGGCCTGACCTTACCTCACCTCGCCTACCCCAGGCGTCTCACCAACTTCGACGCAACCTCCGCTGCTATGCTGCAAAACTACGCAGCATGTTTGATTTAGCACCTGCTTTGGTACATCTTGCGTCAGCCCAGCATCACTGACACCGCAGAAACATCGACCGAAAATGCCGCAAGGTTGCAGTCAGCTTGGTGTTGTCTGCTGCCTGCGTAAGCAGCAAACGTCGATCTGACTTTTCCTGCAGCCAACATTTAAAATAGAGGCAGCATCTGCCAAATCCCCACTTGCCTTCCGGAAGTTGTTCTGGTCGCCAATGTACTGCAACCTCAGGGGTTGGCACAGGGATGCAGGATCTTGTCCGAAAGACCAACATCTGCACCATCCTTTTCAGGTCTACGCCATCCTTTCAAGTTCTAGGTCGTCCTGGAATTCCTCCCTGTATGGCCAATTCGCATCCGAAGAACAAACATTCGAGTACAGGAATTATGCGACATCTTGCCATCAAATGTCAATGTCAGGCCCGCTGCCGGTCGAACAGTGCCAACATCAAATGTCCGGCTATGCCTGCTGGCAACAAACATCTACGGATGTGAGGCCGGCCTGGAATGCTTTTTTCTCACCCTCCAAACCTTTTTTTCAACCCTTCCCTGTTTTTTCAACCCTTCATCCTTTCTATTTAACCCTCCCCCCGTTTTTGTTAAACCCTCCCCCTCCCCCCTTCATTTTTAACCCTCCCCCTTTCTTTCTGACCCTCCACCTCTTCCTTTTAACCCTCCATGTATTTTTTGCCAACCCTGTGGCCGAAGTTTGCGGCAACTGCACTAAGCAACGGTTTAGGGTTGGGTTGGTTTAGGAGTGGTTTTGGATTTAGGGTTGGTTTGGGGTGGGTTCGGGCGGGGGGGGGTTAGGTGGGTTTAGGGTTGGTTTCGGATGGGAAGGGTGGATTTACGGTTTTGTTTAGGGTCGTTTTGTGTTGGTTTAGGTTGGGCAACCTCGCATTTAAGGCTAGTTTAGGGTGGGATTAGGGTTTGTGTGGGAAGGATTTAGAGGCGGGGTAGGGCTTGTTGAGGGTGGGCTGAGGGTTGGTTTGGGATGGGAAGGGCAAGTTTGTGGTCGGTTTAAGTTTAAGGTTGGTTTCGAGCAGGTCTGTCCTGGGTATATGGTGGGTTTAAAGTTGGATGAGGGTGGGTTTTGGGCTTGGAGAATGGGTCTACAGTGGGTTTATGATTGGTTTAGGCTTGGTTTAGGATGGATTTAGGGTTGGTTCAGGGTGGGTTTAGAATGGGTTTAGGATGAGGTCAGGCTTGGGATTAATGTTGGATTGGCATGGTGTTGGTTTAGGGTGGGATTAGGGCGTGTGTCGAAAGGCTTCAGGGTGGATTTAGGGTGGATTTAGTGTTGGCTTAGAATCTGTTTGAGGTGGGTTTGGGGTCGGCTTCGGGTGCAGAGTTGGATTAGGTAGATTTAGAGCAGGGTTTCGGTGGGTTTGTGTTTGGTTTAGGTGGTCTGGAGGTAGGTCTGTGGGTGTAGGGTTGATTCAGGGCGGGTTTGCGGTTTGTCTATGTCTAGGGTGGCGTTGGGGTTGCGCCAGGCTTGGGGTCGCTCAAGGGTGGCTTAGGGTTGATTTGGGGTGGCTTGATTTCAGGTGGGCTTAGGGTGTTTACGGGTATGTTGTTCGTTTGTTTTGGGTTGGATGTAGGTTGGTTCAGGGTTGGTGGGCTTGGGGTTGGTTTAGGCTTGGATGTGGATTGGTTTTGCGGCTGGATCAGGGTGGGTTCATGGTTGGTGCAGGGTGGGCTTATGGTTGGTTTAAGTGGCTCAGGGTTGGTTAGGGTTGGTGTCGGGCTGGCCTAGGTTGGTTTTGAGTTTAGTGTGGGTTTAGGGTGGGGATTTAGGGTTGTTTTTGGGTGAGTTTCGGGTGGGGGCAAGGTTGGCTTAGGGTTGGCTTTTGCTGGGCTTGAGCTTAAGGTTGGTTTTCGGGGGATTGATTAAAGCTGGGTTTAGGATTGGGTTAGGATTGGCTTAGGGTCGTTTTCGGGTTGAGGGTTGGTTTTGGGTCGGTGGGTCTGTTCAGGGTTGGTTTAGGTTGGGCTTAGGGTTGCATTAAGGCTAGATTAGGGTGGGATTGGAGTTTAGGCGGGTTTAGGGTGGGCGGTTGGATCAAGGTTCGGGTGGGCTTAGAGTCGTGTAGGGTGGGTTGAGGGTGGGTGCAGGACTGGCTTGGTTTAGGGTTGGTTTAGTTTGTTGATTTAGGGTTGGTTTAGGTCGGCTTGGGATAGTGTAGGTGGGTTTGGCGTGGGTTTGGGTGGTTTGAGATTGATTTAGAGATACTGAGGGTTGGCAAGGTTTGGCCTAGGGCGGGCCTAGGGTTGGTTTGGGTTGGGTTGGGTGCGGGGCGGGCTTAGGTTGTTTTAGGTTTAGGGTGAGAAAAACAAGGTTGCGGGGTGAAACAAGCAAGCTCGCTGGTGAAAAAAACAAGGCGGATGGTGAAAAAAAACAAGGCGGAGGGTGAAAAAAACAAGGTGAGGGGCTGAAAAGAAAGGATTTCTCAGGGTTGGAGAAACAAGGTTCCCGCCGACGGTTCCCAAACAGGATTTGAGGGTTGGAAAAAAAGGAAGGGTTAAAAAACAAGTTCGGAGGGTGAAAAAAAAAGGGAGCCCAATGCAAATTTGCCTCATCAAATTCTCAAGGCCAAAGGACAAATGCCGAATGCTGCTTCAAATCTACATTGGCTTGTGATGCGTGGCAGCACGAAACGGGCATGCAAAGAAGCGAGAACGCAAAGACTCACAGAGTCATTACTGGCTCGGCCGCGCAATCCTCATGGGCCTCATGGTCCCCCCCGCCCACGCGCAGCAAGTGACCACTTAACACCTCAACGACCTCAACGTCTGACCCAAGGGCGAGAGGCCACCTCAGGTACGCAGGTGTCGGGTCCACCCCCGCATAGAGCACCTGGCATACACACGCGGGCAAGAAGCTGCTTCCGTGTCCCCGAGTGATCTTTGATTTCGACGTGTCACAAAGAAACCTTAGGCTGTTTGGCCGGCCATTCACTGAAAGCCAACTGAATGGTCAACTTGTTTGGTTTGAAACGGGACGTCCGTGTGGCATGGAAGCATTTGGTGCCAAGTGCGCCCCTGGCGGGTGTGAGAACGAAAAAACAAGTGGGGCCCCAAGTTGAGGAAGGCACCATGCAAATATGCAGCAAAACGAGCCCAATGGATTCTGCCTGGAATGGTTGTTCACCGCACGCGATGTATGAGCAAACGGTAACGGGTTGGAGAACCAAAGCTCCAAGCATCGGCTGCTTCAGCACAATCGCTCTTTTGGCTTCCCGGCGACTTCCTACTTACTTCTGCCTGGATTGTTCGCGCACGCGAAAACAGCTTCCTGAGTCCAAAACAATTTTATGAAAGTGGCCTACCAAAATCCATGTCCAGAAGGTCGTCTTGCCGCACCCTGGGCTCGCGGATCGCGGATCGCGTTTTTTCGCGGCTTCGCCTGGCGCTCCGGCGCGAAGAGCAGGGCCGACAAGGCCACGAAGGAGTCGATGCAGATCACCGGGACCTGCTCCTCACGCACCCTATCTTTTTGACCCAGTCCCGGCAATTAAGCCCCTCAAATAGGGAGCCCCCTTCAATTGGGCGTGAAGCGGAAGTTTGGGGAACCACAAAATTTTGGGACAACCCACGGTAACCCAACCACCCAACTGGGGAGGATTTGCCGGAACCCCTTTGACCTGAGGGTGCGTTTGTGCTGGAGGTACAAAATGAGTGGTTCAGTGGTTGATCCAACCGTTTCACCGGCTCAAGCCAATGTGTAGCATTGATCCAACCAAGCTCGATCCTGTCAAACGGGGCATGGTGTGTCACGTGGGAACGGAAGATTGGAAGCGTGCTAATTCCTGACTTTAGCCGGCTGCTGAAACCAAATTGGGAGGCACCCGCTTCAACATCTTTAACCCTCAAACACCAATCCGCTCCGCCAACCCCATCACCAGGGGCTAAGCATGCCCAATCTAGGCACTCATATCATACCAGTAGAGCCGGCGAAGCCGGTGGGCGGAAGTTTCAAAAATCTAAAAACTATAGTTTTCTTTCTCTTTCTTTTCTTGACTCTTTTTCTCCGTCATTCTTCCTTTCTTCCTTTCTTTCCTTCCTCCCTCCCTTCTTTCCTTCTTTCTATCTGTCTTTTCTTTCTTTCCTTCGTTTGCTTGTCTATCTATCTTTCTCTACCTATCCATACCTAACTACCTATCTATCTATCTCTCTGTCTATCTTCTCTATCTATCTCTCTATCTCTCTATCTATATATCTACCTATCTCTCTATCTCTCTATCTATACATCTCTCTGTATATCTCTCTATCTATCTATCTCTATATCTCGCTATGTATCCCTCTGTCTACCTATCTATCCATCTCTCTTTCTATCTGTCTGTCTGTCTGTCTATCTATCTATCTATCTATCTATCTCTCTATCTCATTATCTCACGTGTATTTATCCATCTCTTTATCTCTCTATCTATCTATCTATCTGTATTTCTATCTATCCATCTCTCTATCTACCTCTCTCTCTACCTATCTATCTATCTATCTATCTACCTCTCTATCTATTTATCTATCTATCTATCTATCCATCCATCTATTTATTTCTCTATCTATCTACCTATCTATGTATCTCTCTCTCTCTCTATCTCTGTTTCTATCTAATTATCTCTCTATCTATCTATCTATCTGTCTATCTATCTATCTATCTGTCTGTTTATCGTTTATCTATCTATGTATTTATCTCTATTCATTTATCTCTCTATCTATCTATCTATCTATCTATCTATCTCTTTTTCTTTCTATTTATATATCTCTCTATCTCTCTCTCTCTCTGTCTATCTATCTTTCTCTCTCTCTCTCTCTATCTATCTATCTATCTCTCTATCTCTTTATCTCTCTCTCTCTGTCTATATATCTATCTATCTTGCTCTCTCTCTCTCTATCTATTTATCTATCTATCTATCTCTTTCTCTATCTCTTTCTATCTTGACTTCGCGTACTACTTTCGTACTTAAAAGTTGCGATTTTCGAGCCCCACTGCGAAAGTGGACTTCACGTACTACTTTCGTACTTAAAAGTTGCGATAGTGGACTTCACGTACTACGCGTACTACTTTCGTACTTAAAAGTTGCGATTTTCAAGCCCGGCTGCGAAAGTGGACTTCGCGCACTACTTTCGCACTTAAAAGTTGAGATTGTCAAGCCCCAGCTGCGAAAGTTGACTTCGCTTACTACTTTCGCACTTAAAAGTTGCGATGTTCGAGCCCCGGCTGCGAAAGTTGACCTTGCAAAAGTGCTGCGCCTGCCACGAAATCTGTACTTGACCTCGCGAAAGTGCTGCGCCTGCCACAAAATCTGTACTTGTCCTTGCGAAAGTGATGCGCCTGCCACGAATTTTGCACTTGATCTTGCGAAAGTGCTGCACCTGCCACGAATTCTGTACTTGACCTTGCGAAAGTGCTGCGCCTGACACTAAATCTGTTCCTGACCTCGCGAAAATGCTGCCCCTGCCACGAAATCTGCATGCGCCGCCTTGCGCGTCCGTGCCAATGGAATTTGCGATGCGTCCGTGCCAGAAGTAAGAAAATGCCGCGCCTGTCACGAAATCTGCAACCTTGAGAAAGTGATGCACCTGCCTCGAAATCTGTACCCGACCTTGCCAAAATGCTGCGCCTGCCACGAAATCTGAACCTTGCGAAAGTGCGCGCGTCCGTGCCAATGGTCCCGGCGCGAGCCCGTCCCGAGCCCGTCCCGAGCCCGTCTCCGTCAGACGCCGCGACCGGGGTAGCTTTCAGCCAGCCGGAGAAGCCAAAACCCGCAGAGGGTTGCACTTTTTGCAGATTTCTATTCCCCAGCCACACGTATACGCACGTTTTCTCGCATGCATTCATTCTTTCTTCATCTCATCTTTGCGCAGAGCTACCTTTCAATTAGTTTCCGTAACTCGGAAGTTTCCTTCTAAACTTCCTTTGATAATATATGAGTGTCGTTTGTGACGCATTGCGAACGTACCCTTTTCATTGGGGTCCCACTATTTTGATACACACACAGCCATGCCAAACAATATGCCAGCTTGGCCCTTTATGAGCCTGGTGGAGTAGAAGCGTTGCAGTCTTGAAAAATGGAAATCCTTCGGCAAGGCCTTCCGAAGGAGATCGTCCCCCTTCCGAAGGGCTTTCCCTGTCATGCCCACCATGCAAACCTAAATTTATATCAAAGGGCCGGCTATGAATGTACGAATGCACTTTTCCAGCATCACACTGCCAACGCCGGAAGCATAAAGCTCCAGCACGCAAACAACGAAAAAGCTGTGTCCGCAAGGTTCGGCCACAAGAGCACGGCCCTCCCCAGTCCCCGCTCTCGGTCCGGCGGTTCCAAGCGCGGCAACACACGCCGCGCAGAGAGCGTCTCTCGGTAGAGGGAGCCTGGCGGTTGAAATGGGTTCGCCCTATTCTGTTCGGAAAAAAACACCAGGAAGACCAAGAAAAAAAACGGTTTTCAAGCCTGCCCGGCAAAAACTGGGAACCAAGCGAGTCAGATGTACCACCGGTCCGCCCCCGTATGCATTTGAGCCCCTGGGTCCTACACCCATTGTGCCTATCATCAGCAGCAGCCAGTAGGTTGCATTGAACGGCTTCTCCTTGGTTAAGCAGCTGGAAGATCACGAGGCACAACAGACCACAACCAAATAAATAGGTAAACCAACTGAAAACAAATAAATAAGCAAGCAAGCAAACAAAGTGAACCTATATAAACAAAGCAAAATAAACCAATACAATACAATACAATACAATACGTACAAAACAAGACAAAGCCGAGAAACAAACAAACCGACGCCGCATATCAAGGTGTCGTGTAAGGTTGGGCCCTGCTGGGCCTATCTTCAAGCGAGCTCTTGCGAAGACAGCTTTTTACAACATATACAGTGCCTTTCTCTGCCAGAAAGCATTCTTGCTCAGTTGTGCCTGGTGGAATTCATTATGACCCTACGACCAATCAAACAGTAATCACGCCAAGCTCATGGTGCAAACTCTGACTCAACTTTTGCCCAATCACTGTTGTTGTATATCATCATGAGAGATTATGAGTTGGCCTCAAGGCTCAGCCGCGTGGCTGAATGCTTGAGATTTGAGAGCATCATGAACCGTGAGGCACCGACATGTGTTTGTGGATCATTTCATAGTGGGGGTGGAGCAAACAAATGAACCTGGGCGCCTCTCCACCACGGGGCTTTGCTTCTGCCCAGCATCGATGGCGGCATTGCATCGCTGGCACCACCTCTCCAGCTCGTTGCCCACGATGACGCGGTAGTCTGCGCTGCCGAAGTCTAAGTAATGGCGCCTGCGCTCGGTGATCCGCATCGCTTTTAATTCAAAACCCCGTCGCATACAGCGTAGGTTCCCTTAGTGTGGCAATGTTCTTGCAGGATCTACAGGCCCAATGCTACGTCTTCGACCCTGAACGGGCAACACGAGCCAGGCCAGGCGAGTTTGAAGGTGTGGAAGGAGCGCGGGTCGTACCTCACCAGCTCAGGCAATCTTGAGGGAATGAGAGGATTGAGAGGCACCCCGACTGTGGCGAAGGCTGCTCCTTTTTTGGGCGATCCTCAGGATTCATATCGCCAGGCCCGAGTTGGCGTATAACTGGCTGCGGGCTGGACCAGCATCTTGCGCATCTCCCAATACAACTGCAGTACATTCTTCCCTCCCGCCCCCCCCCCCCCCCCCCGCCGCTAAATTTTCTACGAGCATCTCGGGGGCCACCAGGAACTGTCACTACCCACCCACCCGGCGCCAAGGTGCTGAAACATGGGCCGGAAGATCCTCTTGGGCTCAATGATGAGTGTGGTGACAGGGACAGTTGGCCTGAGCTGCAAGTGGCGGGAACGAAGGCAGGACAAGAAAGTCTTTGGTCAACAGCCCTGAGATGTCAATCCAAGAATGTTCGCGCCGCGAATACCAACGTTGATTAGACCCCTGCCCCTCACCTCTCAACAACACTCGTTGAAGAGTTTCTGGACCAACTGCCTCCATCGTCTCCACATCTATGGGCTAACTACGGACCATCCTCGTCCCACTGCCAGCGGACCTCGCCCAAGCGGCTGGTACACAAAGGCGCAGCCCGACTTGTGCAAAAAGGACACTGCACAAGAAGTCCTGGATGGGCATGCGTCAAAATTCCAGTACCCAAAGAAATGTGGATCTTCCTTGGGCTTCCCTTCAGCCTGAAAAGGGCGCCCTCATAAAGCCCCCCGTGGATTGAGTGGTCTAGAGGTTGTCGCGGGGGGCAGTTTTGGGCATGGCTTGAGACTCGTGTCAGGATTGCTATCTTGCTTGCCCAGAGGTCTGATGCTTGATTCGAAAGGTGAATGGGAAACCGAAACAGTCAATGCGAGACAATTGGAGCCTTTGGGAATGGGCTGATTCCAGCCGGTATGGGACCGTTCCGCGCTGCCGTGCTCAGACCAAGTCTGTGACGGATGTTGCAACGCCAATGGAAGCATGCAAAAGTGGTAGGCTTTATCTTGGTTCCCCTCCCAGGACGACCAGAATTGGGCATCCGAAATCACACACACACACACACACATCTTGACCTGTTAACGCCCGCTCATCTCCATCATGAACATAGTCCGACCGGCGAAGTACCTGAAGCTACACTGCCTGCTGTGAATGACCAACCTTTAACATGCAAGAATTGCCTGTACAACACACCAAGCATCTGCAACCTACACGCCGCCCTTGGCTCCTGGATTTCTTGATCTCGTTCTCCCAGCTATGTTGGTACCACAGCACAATGGGAAAATTCACGTGCAGCCTTGCCAGGCACGGCTTCCGAACTTCCCGTCCAAGAAGCCTTTATGGATTATCCGCAAACAGGGACGTTGGGGGAAATCCAGGTGACGTGTCGGAATCTTTAACCTAGAACTATGAGCTTTGCATTGAGAGTCCAACGGTGGTCGAGTTATCCGTGTGAATTGTCCCCCCAGTCACTGCCCTGCTGCAGAGATGAATGTGTCACTGTCTGAATTGACAATTGTGGTCGCCAACTTGCCCGCTTCCCAACCAAACCTCGTTTTGTACGCCTAAAGCCGCCCGGCGAACCTTGAGGTATCAAATCGTGGACAACCGAGCAAGCAGTTCGGACCTTCCGGCTGTCAATCCGACTCTGGGGCCAGCACCTACCCCCATAGGCACCGGAAGACCTGACAGCAAGGCGCCTTTGAACATCGACACGTACGGTATCCGAATGTGTCTGAAAATGAGGGAACCCTTGCGCGGTGACTCAAGAAAACACAGATTCCACAAGGATACCATCCAGTCTTGCAGCCCCCATTTTCGGATACACCCGCATACACCGGCGTGCAGGGAAGGCGCAAGTTGCGTCACACCCACGTGAGAGTGGGTTACTAGAGGCTCCCTAAACATGGCTTCACGGTCCACGAGGACGTTCGACAACCCGGGTCGAACTCATCAAAGTGACAATTATGAAACATCCTGCCATCATACGCCCTGCGCCTCTCCCAAGCAAAGTTCTGTCCGCCACACATGTTGCGCACCCTCTCCATGGCCTGCAGCAAGCCGTTGGCAAGAGACACTACAATCCATTCAATCCATGGGTTAAACTCTCATGGCCGAACGACAGCAACACATGGCACAAACTTGCAGTATGCTTGAGTGGTCACATCCATGGGTACTGCCAACCTGCACATACGGATAAGCGACTCTCAAAAGATTGGTCCGGGGAAGCAAAGGCCCAGGCAACCTGAAGGCCTCAATCTTTGGTCGGAAGTGGAAATTGTGTTGCTGGATTGCTGCGCATGGCTCAGCACAATGTTCATAGCGCAGTCCTTCTTGCTCTCAGGAATGCTGCATGCTCTGTGTAACAGGCGCATGGGAAAGCCTCGTTCAGCAAAATTAGCGCAGCAGGAAGTTACAAGCTACCACTGCACAGTTCTGTCGTGCCGTGCAACATGGGCGGCCATAGTGACCGCTCAGGTCTCTCGCACGACTTTTGCCTTCGGACAAGTATCTTGCCCGGTGGGCTTTTATCAAGGTTTCGGCCCTGCTCGAAATTGGTTTGCAAACGTGACACAGTGTCCATAATGAACTCGAACTTGTGGAGCTTCAGGAGCTTCTGCAAAAACTGCAAACCGTTGCTCCCCAAGTTGCTGCAGTGGCTGCTACAGTATCAACTAGCCTTCCGCCTGCCGGCTTCCACGTTTCAGCAAGCTGACTTTACTGGGCTTGGTGGCATACAAAATAAGTATCTAGTTGCTCAACGTGTAACATCTAGAGGCTTCGGCAAATCATCCTGCGACACGCTGTGGAATCTAGCGCTGCCTAAGTCCAGCAGAGTAACGTGTAATTTGTAGCTCAGAAGCAAATATGCAGATATTGCACGGCTAGGGGTGCCTCGCAGAGGGGCATGGGATTGTTCTCTGCATTCACCAACTCCTGGAAGGAGCACAGCGGCGCCTGGCTCGCAGCCAAGCACAAGCTCAAAAAATGCAAAACAACAAATAGACGACCTGGTTGATCACAGCATGTGGCACACGCTCCTGCAGGCGAACATGGATGCCAACAGTACATTTTAGTAAGGGGATGCTTCCACCAGCCGGTGGCCGGAGCATTCAAATGTATAACCTGACTGGAGGCCCCGAAAGCAATTATTCAATAATTCGCTTCAAGCCAGCTGCTGGGCCATACCTTTTGTACGGGAGCCATGCTTGAAGGCCGCCTGAAATTCCCAACCAGTTATTGAGACCAAGGGGAGTCAACTCTGCATGTGTAGCGAACCCTCTTGCCTCGAAGGGCTGAGAAGTCCACTTCCACCGCGCCGGGCCGCGGGCGAAGGCCTAAAACAAGACCCTGACTTTCCCCGAAAACGTAGCGAAGGGTTCTAGGTCAAAAAGGCTAGCTCTGCTGCACAGCACATCTCAACATAGCCTTGCTGCACAGCGACACTGCTCAACATAGATTTGCTGCACAGTGCAGCTCAACCTGCTTGGAGGCATGATTGAGCTTTTTCTTGTTGACAAACGCTTTCGGGATACGCGGGGTCTAGGCGTCCACGTCTTCAGTGCTTGCCGGAACAAGGTGACCACCCCAAACTTGCTAAACGCTAAGCTAGATCGACATGTGTCTTGAAGTAGGGGCCCTCCGAAATGATACCTCTTGATTCCGCTAGATTTCGCTTGAAGCCAGCCCAAGGGTACCCTCGTTCCACCCAATGGAAGAAGAGAGTTTTGGAAGGCTACCATCCTCTCGGAAAGGCTCACTTCCATGATCGGAAAAAGATACCCTCAACAAATGGAGATTGTACCCAGCATCTTTGAGCACTGGCAAAAGACATGCATGGAAAAATGGAAAACCTGGTCAGCCACCTGCAGCTGGCTGATTGAACATTTTACTTTTTTCGCACTTGCACAAAGGACTCCGACATCAAAGGTCACTTCTTGGCGTCTTGAGGTACCTAGATTCGTCACATGCCCCCTCGGCCCTGCAATTGGCTGATATGCTTCCACCCCGTTTGCGGCCAGCGAGCGGCAGTCTCTGGCTCATGCTCGGGTTCCTGGCCAGCGCGCTCCGTTCTCGGGCACATGCCCCCAATTGAACATAGTGGAAAAAGAGAACCTTTTGATTGGCCATCTGGCACCCGCCGGGAGCTCTGGTGGAAGGCCTACTGCACCACTGAGAAAAGGGCAACTTTCTTAGGGTTGACCATGGTCGGAAAGAAATTGCTCTATGAACGGAGCAGCATTGTGCCGCTGTCCCAACTTGCATGCCGAGTCATCGATGAATACGTGCACGCATGGAATTGTCAGCCAAGGCCGAAAGATCATGAAAGCCCATGATCAATGAAGCTCAAAGCAACTTTGTTGAAGGGATATGCTTTCCTTTGTACCTTCATAGGCGAGATGGTATGCGCAATCAAACCATTACGTAATATTCAGCACTCAAAGCTGCATCTGCGTCTTGCAGCACGCCACTGCCGTACAAAGTGGCAAGCAAACTGCTTTCACAAGTGTTGTCTGTGTGTGTGATGCGAATCTGTTGCCGCATTGCGACACGCAATCTGCCAGCAATGCTTGACCCGGTCCTGCCCAACTTTCTCCGCCTGCTTTTGTGGGCTTCTCATCCGCTCCTGAGCTTTCAACAGCCATGACAACAACCCACCCAAACTGCCTGGAGCCTTTGAATCATCTAATCCACCCTGGGGACGTCCTTCCCACGCCAAAGAAGGCGCACCCCGACAGCAGCTTCCACATTGGGCAAGGTAGGCCTTCAAGTGGGACATGCTTCCAAACATGCCAGCAGCGTCGCTTCAAACGAGCTGCCGTCAACAGGCGCGGTGACTGCTCAAGTACGTGTGGATCATCCTGGCCAGCCTGGCCAGTGCGCAAGAGCGGGTGAAACTTCGGGATGTCACATGTGAGAAGCCACGCGGGCTTCGGAAACTGCAGGGCAACCAGTGGTTCGATCCAATTGTGCACGCTGCCTTGGGGGCAAATGAGCTGCACTTGAAGGGAAGCTGTCTAACATTGATAAATGTGTCTCTCTCTCTCCCTCGCTCCCTCCCTCCTCTCCCCCCTCACAAGGCTCTCGATCTGGTTCATCAATCAGAGTTTGAGCTTTTCCAGCCTTCTGAAGGATGGTTTCAAGCGGAGAATTTGGAATCCGGGTGGATAATTCAGATTAAGAGACCTGGCAAAATTCAGCATCTATCCATCCCTTTTGGCAACCAGGTCGTGTCGCGTAGCACCCAGCAACTAGCATGACCAGTAAAATCGGTCTGCTTACCTCTCCGAGACGTCCAAACCATTCCGAGATCGTGCACCCAACTTGGCTGGCATGGCATAACCATTGGTTTTCGCGAGCCGACGAAAGCCTCCCAGTTAAATCGTCCAAGGATTGACCTGCGCAGGAGAAAGAGCCAGGCCGACCTTCTTGATCTTCTCGGTTTCCTGGGCCGAACGCTTGGCGCGAAGCAAAATGACAAGGTCTCGCCCAGAGATCTGCAAGCTGGAAAGGTGAGCTCGGGAGCTCAGGAACAATTTCTGCAGAGAGATGGGTAGATAAAAGACGAGCTGACTTTGGATGGTCAGCATGAGTTGCTATGGCAGGGGTTCGAAAACATTTGAGAGACACACAGCAAAATGGTAGCATCAGGCAAAAAGCCTTACCAAGGGCTCTGCAAGCTACAATTTCTGAAATTGGCTAGCAAGTGTCGCGGCAGCAACGCTTCGGAAGGGCTTATCACTTTTGCCAAGGGAACCCCAATACTGCATCAGCCAGCAGTAGTCACGTGAAAGCGCGCGCCTGAACTCCAAACACACCCATCCCCGCCTGAGCCGCCTTGTCCGAGTGCCGCGTCAGCGCGCTGATGGCCATCCGCTCCGCTACAGACAGGCGCCGGGTGCCCCCCGTGGTGGTAGAGCTCTCGCCCGATACCTCAGACACCAAACCTTGTTGCTTCTCAGTGAACGATGGAATCCAGGATTCTTAAATCCCTGCGTCCCATTTTAGTGGAAACCTTCCCTTCAACGCACCACTATACATTGCGACATTGGGGAACCTGTCTTGAGGGTGATCTTTTGTAGTGGGGAACGCGCCAAAACCAAGGAGAAAAGGGTGCCACTGAACAACCGGGGTATTCAGGAATGAACCGTCCAACTGTCCCTTGCAGTGTCCTTCAAGAGCTGAGGTTGGGATTGGCCATTGGAATGCGGGCTCCCAGACCCAGGAGGTATTACATTTCACATGAGCGCAATCTTCTGGGGCCAAGGGCCCAGGGGTTCCTTGGTCTCTGGAAAAAAAACGATTTGGTTGCTCATCCCCCCGAGATTCTATTTGAGCAGTCAACATGTTGGCCGTGGGCTTTGAGCCCTGCTTGTTCTTGGTGGCTTCAATGCAGCCTCCCAGTTCAATTGCAGCGACCTGGGAATAGATGAGCACATTCGTGACTGAGGCTTTCATTTGCATGGGACACGCAAACATCCAAGTTACTAAGCTTCGTGACCTTACCACAAATTAACTAAAACCCCTCAAAGTCAATTTTCCAACATTGGACCCCATGTCTTGCCCATGGTCCAGGTTATGCCGGCATCTGTCTTGCTGGACGGTGCCAATCAAAAAGTCAGATCGCCCGGCTGAGGCCTGAAACCCGAGTCACAATGAGTTGCACTCAAGGCTTGTGAGGCAAAACATGCATGCTTGTTTAGATGTGTTTGAACAGTTTACTGAGTGGCAAATGGCCGGCCTGACACCAAACAATGATCCATCTGGAACAACAAATGGCCGCTCGCCCCCGAAAGAGATGGGCGAGGGGCCGCGCTGAGTGCAGACTTGAAAGCCACGGCGACCTTTTGCAAGATCTTGGACTTTGCCTGGAGCAGGGTTCCCAGCGGCAAGGCTGCCCTTACGTGGAGGAAACTCCCGTTAAATTTGCTCGAAGGTGGACATGGTACGTAGGGAGCCCTGAAGGCAGCGGTCGGGCCAGAAACCCTTATCTTGTTTGAGGCTCGCCAGTTTGTGGATCCTTTTCTCAACAAATAAACAACGCCGCCTCAACCACCCCTTTTTGAAAGGAGCATGCATCTTCGCGACCACAAGGTGCAAACTCCTGGCCACAGTCTTGAACCACCATCGACCGGACCTGCGACAACTTGCGACAACCACAACAGGACCAAAGATTCCAAAGAAGACCAGATTCCCCCGGAATCTTCTCCCAAAAGACGGAGGGCCGGCTCAAACCAGCCTTTGGTCGAACGCAAAAAAAAAAAAAAAAACGCTGAAACTCCTGTTGGATTTCATTGTGCCCAGGCGCGCCCGAGCCGGAGGCAGAGCCGGAGCCGGAGCCGGAGTTCTTTCTGTGGGACTTGGTGGGCGTCAAGGAGGACCGGCCCTCCGTGCCCGACAAGGACTCCAGGCGCGAGCCGGAGCTCAAGGAGGAGGCGGTGCGCGGCCGCTCGGTCGGAACCTCGGGAGCCGTCTGAGTCTTCGCGGCCATCGCGCGGTCCTGGCGGAAGCGCCATTTCAAAATGGCTTGGCCCACGGTAGCCATGACGAATGCAGTTGAACCTCGCGAACAAGCACATATGAGCAACCAGCGACACCTCTGACCAAACTGAATGTACTTAATCGGATTTGAGCTGTGCTATGCTGTGCTTTATTTTGGCGTGATCCTTTGAAGCAACAGTACTGCCAAGTTGGAAAAAAGCCCCTCTTCTTCAGCTTCCCATCAATTGTCAGACTTGTCAAACAGGCTGGATTCGCAGGGCTGATTTATATAGAGACATTTATCGAATTGAAATCAGGTGGATTCCAAACCTGATGTGAATCACGGGGCTATGGCAATCTGCAAAGATAGGAATCCGCGCTGAGGCCTCAATTGTGGTAACTCATAGTTCGAGCTCTATTCCGCCATCCGGAAAGACTGTTGGAAGTGTCCTCCCTGAACATACTCAAAACCGAGTAGCTTCTGGGTCGTAGGCTGCTTTGTGATCTTCCCAGAACACGCCGTTATGATTATGGATGGTGCTTTCGTGAACATACTCAAGGAGCTGCTCCTTGATCAAGCAACCCCCTTTTGAAAGCTCAAATCGCGTCGCTCTTTGCTGGTCGGCTTGCCAGATCTTCGTCCCCAAGCAACCCCCTTTTGAAAGGAACATACTCGAAAAGGAGCTGCGTTTACCCGGGTAAGGTTTCTGATCGTTCACAGGCAATAAGACAACCTGGCTGACTACTCCAAGACGGGTGCTTCCCGAGACACTCAAGTAGGACGAGCATCCAATCAATACAATCCGGCCCTCAGATCCAGCTACCCTTTTGCCTTCATGACCATCGTCACCGCCTTGAACAGTTTCTTGGGCTGCGCTTTGGGCGACGCCGATGCTTTGGGCGACGCCGATGCTTTGGGTGACGCCGACGCCGGGGACGGCGATCGCTTCTCTGGGGACGTCGGGGATGGCTCTGGCGGGGAAGGCACCTGCTCTTGCACGGCGGCTGGCTCAAGTCGCGGGCGGAGGCTTCCTGGGCAGCGACATGCTCTCAGCAACCCTTTTCTCCCCCTGGGGTGAGCCATGGTCAGCATTCATTGTGTTTACAGCGGGCGGGCGAACTTGACAAGCAGGGCAGTCATTTAGCGACACCCCGTGATTGCATCATGCCAGAAACGCCAATGATCATCGGGGTGGCCTGGGAAGATTGAGCATGTAAACACAGAACCCCATGCCGTGGACACTCCAGCATGTGTTTGGGGGCCCGGGCCCTAAAATCCAAATGCCCTAAAGAAGGTTGCAAAACGGATCCCAGCGATCCCATCCCAGCCGAGGGGCGGCGGGGTGCCCGTCCAAAACTGCGGCCCCGGCGCTCTCGCGGCTCCCGAGCTGACTGGCAGGGGTGAGGGGTGGGAAGAACTTGCCCAATGAGGGCCAGAGTCCACAAGATCACAGGTCTGCTGTCACCGGACCCCAAGAGCTGACCCCACCCACCTGTGTTTCATTCCAAGGGGCCTGACACCATCAAGAGAACAACTTCATGCTCCTTCCCCGCTCACGAAGGCGACTTGAGGGCAGGAGGGCTCCTGCATCCAGCCTTCACCATTTCCGCCGGCACATCATCATCCACCGCCAAAAGGGACTTCAAGACATCCTGCCAGGCAAGCCGCGTCCACTGCCCCCGGGCAACCGCCAATGATCATATGATTGGCGACCCATCAACACTGTTTGCCCAAACAACTACGTAAGCTGTTGGCCACAAGTAGGGGACATGAATTCATCTCAAAGATTGAACCAACAGCTTTGGAGCCACATGGATTCCGCAAGACACGCGCAAAAGCAAGGACCATGCTTGAACAACATATTATGTAACATGCATATGATTTCAGCGTCATATGGTATGATGCCTTGCAAAGCATCAAAGTGTAGCATAGCTCAATGCTGGCTTGGTTGATCTCGAATTGTACCTCAAAGCAGCATTCAGCTCTTGATGAAATCGCGCAGCGAGTACTTTAGCAAACCTTCAGCAAGCCTTTCCCACTCACCCGCATTCGAAGCACCCAGAATCACCCAGACCTGTTCTGCGGACCTAGCTCCCAGTGGCTTGCATTGGTGCAAGGGGCGACGATGACTTGGTCGAAGAATGCAAGGTGTCTCTTACCCGGTCTGCCGGGATCAGCTGGACCGTCCGGATTACCCATTACGCGGGGAGAAACGTGAGAGGCAAATCAATGGAATGACGCATTCATGGGCAGAGGGGCAGATAGATGCAAATGCCTTGTACGGGCAGATTGTCTTCATCAGAACATTGACATGGTCAACTAGTAGTACAAAGTGTGGAGTAAGCCAGCTGTTCTCAGGCTGACTTGAAAGCTAGCGATGCCCACACCACTGCGTGACATCAATCCATGATGTAGCAGTTGAACGCTAGTTCGCAGCCACCATCCCACAAGCAACACGCAAAGGCTGAGGGCTCGATGGTGCTCCCGATATACTCTCACCCAACGTCAACTGGCCGTGGCTCTGTGAAGGGTATACAATTGTCAGCGGATATCTGCGGCACCTACTACAGGGAGCCCTGACACTCATACCTCCCTGAAGGCTGCCATGAATTCCAGAAGTCGCGCTTGCCGCGTGTCAACACTCGGACAGCTGCCGCACAAATTCACTATGCACATGTCTATGTTTGCCACTGTCTCCAGACCAAGAGTTCGGGTCAGCGTGTGCGAGGTTCCTTCCAACAAAAAGGCACAGAAAAAATGGGTCCAAAAAAGGCAAAGAAACAAGCGGTCAAACAAAGGCCAAGAGTTTGAAAAATCCCATCTCGGCTTCCATGTGTTTGGCTTCCTCAGGCCTGGCCCGTCTGCCGCGCTTGGGTCATGGACACATCTGCCAAGACCTCCGCCTGCGCGCAAAACAAAAAACGCGCCGGCCGCGCACTGAGCTTCCACGAAGGCTACAAGCTAAGGATCTACAAGCTGAGTATTCACGGGCCTGCGCCAAAAAAAACGAAAAATGAAGGCCGCCGATGGATGCGTTTAGGTCCACTTAAGCAGCAAGGAACGGCCTGTGCCTTGCTTCGATCAAATGATGGCATTTGGTTGTGCCACCGGCATTGCGCTCATCCTACCCAACCACGCACCTTCACCCCTCAAGCAAGCATCTCTTGAGCCATGTTTGCTCTCGGCTATCCGTCACTCCAGGCGGTGCGTCGATTACTTGCTATCCCTTCAGAGACCTATGAGTCTTGGCATCCCATTTTGGCCTGTGCCTCGTAGGGCCTGACTCATACCAGGTAGGGCCCAACAGCCCAAGGGCATCCCAAGGATCCTCTTATGGGTGAAACGGCTTCACCAGGTGAGCTCCATCTGTTGGAGGACCCCACCCAGCAACTTGTCACCCCGCCTGGTGTGGGCTGAAGGACGCCTCGCAAAACGGAGGGTGCGGGGCAAAAGCTGTGCTGAACCGCGCGTTGGTATGCTGCACGCACATGGGCCTATGCGCTTGAATTCCTGGCTTTGGTCCATCCAAAACCGTCGCCGGCGCACGATGCAAGGGACATCCTTGAGGACAGAGGCGTCCTGATGGGTAAGACCCTTGTGGCCGTAGCTGAGGATCCCCCGGAAGCAAGCAGGGTCAAGGGCTTTTATATATCTTGCCATTCTTTCACTGGCAATACAAGTTGCCCACAAGCACTCCGATTCGAGTCGCGCAGGCCCTCAGCCACAAGGTTCAAGCCGACGCCTGCGGCGGGCTGAAAGATGCCTCGCATCGAGGCAGATCTGTTTGAAGCTTTGGGGCGGGCTCCAGGCTCCCAAACAGCAAGGACACCAGCCACAATCACATGGACGACGAAAGGGCGTCTCTTCCTTGCTTCCTTGATTCCGTAATTCCTTGATTTCTTGATTCCGCTTGCTTGCTTGCTTGCTTCCTCCCTCCCTCCCTCCCTTCCCTTCCCTTCCCTTCCCTTCCCTTCCCTTCCCTTCCCTTCCCTTCTCTTCCTTGCTTCCTTCCTTCCTTAACCTTACACAACGTTGAATTACACAACATTGTTTTGTGTTTCGTTCCGTTATGCCACACCATACCCTAACCCACCGTACCACCATACCATACCATGCCATACCACCCATATACATATATATATATATATCCTGGCTTCCACTCCCTCTCTGCCATGCCATCTCAAGAGGGTCCAGCAAACTAGGGTATGCGATCAGAAACCGCTCGTTAGGCAACAAAACAAACACTGCCGTAGAGGCAACTGAGGCAACCAGCCGGTTCACATGGCGGTGCCAACCATCCGAACAAGTACTGACATAATGCAGGTGAGGATTTGACCCCTATATACTCAGGCAGCTAACAGGTCCCTACCCCATGACGACCCTTCCGAACAAACCTAAGAACCTTATTCAAAAGGGAGTGGCGAATGTATCCTGCAATTATTGTTCCTGGCGGGACGAGCTAGAAGGGCCCACCGTCCACCCCGACCCCACACGCTGCAACCAAGCTTGGTCAAGGTGCTGCCGTACTCTGCATGGACAGGGGGTGTTTGCGAAACTCCTGGGCAAGGCGCAAAAACATGTTATGTTCAAACCTGAACCGCTTCAGGATCTTTGCTTGTGAATACTTTTGACACATCCCTACGTTGCAAAACAACACATGACCCATCACGTATGACAAATGATGCAACAAGCCTGGAACAAAACATGCCAACTAATTGACCGCTCTTTGGCCTGACTGACGCCACATAGCCTCAAAGCCTGGTGAAATCAACAAACCCCGTGCAAACATTCTTTAAGCTAAGGCTACAGGCAAACGATAAAGTCATGCCTAAGTCACTCCTTTGTCTGTGTGGCCATGTGTTCCCCCATGTAAACGCCGATTCCAAGAAGTCACTACAAAGTCACGCCTCGGCAACAATCCCCATGGAACGCTTGACATCACCGAGCTGGTCATGTTACAAAAAGACAGGTGTCAACACTGAAACACAATGGAACGCTACTGATGGCAAAGCATGTTTTCCAGCCCCGCGAGGCGTCTGCAGGAACATGAAAACCAATGGAACGCCAAGCATACAATAGGTTGTTGCAGGAGAGTTTAGTAAGACGTGACACAATGGGTGGGCTTTGCAGGCTCTTGCACCGTGTTTTTCCACGTCCTGGAGCTCTTTCTCTGGAAGGCAGGCAGGCACATATGCAATGCACCCTGGTAAAAAAACGAGATCAAAACGAGATCAAACCGAGATCAAAACTGAGATCAAAACAAGATCGCCGATCGTCCGTTGAAGATTTTGGGATATTTTGGGCCCACATGTGCCGAACCCGCGCCCACAAGTTCACTCACTTCTGCACCCGCTCCCATCAACCAACTTCCGCACCCACTTTTCGACTCAATTTCGCACCTGCGGACGCCAGCCGCTCAAGCGTGCCTGCTCAGCCCTCGCACACACGCCAGCCAAATGGTAAGCACCCCCGCTCAAGCACACCCGCACAGCGCTGCACAGGCGCCAGCCAAATAATAAGCACCCCCTCAAGCGCACCCGCTCAGCCCTGCAAACACGCCAGGTTAGTCCAGGTGAGAGGAAAAGCAAGGTGCCGACTCGCAAAAGAGACGTCAAGTCTCAAGATTGCGAAACACACTGTAAACGCTCCTAGGCGGATAAGATAGAACATGCCTAAACCATCCTAAACCCCACGGAAAAACCATTTCCACTGCAATGCCTCCCAAAAGCCTATCCCTTCAAACATGCAGAGTTCCTATGCGTTTTGGAAAGAGGCACGACTTGTTCGAAGCCCTCTCCCCCATGGAATTTAAGCAATGCCTCAAACGGAGGCACGACTTTGTCAAATCCCTGTAACAGCCCGGTCCTCCTCTGTAAGCAAAGCTGCCGCCGCCTGCAAAAGGCCCCAGCTTCCAGGTGACTTCTTGCGTGAGTGACGGCAGGAGGCTTGAGGGTCGCTTTGCGCAAGGGGTTTCTACCATAAGCTTACCAAGGGCTCAAATGCCAGATCTGGTTCGCTTCCATCGCGCCTTCACTGGCGAGGAGGGCAGCAGGAAAGCCTCCCATCCCGGCGCCTCTCCTGGTCTTCCACAATGGGTGAACTGGTGGGGGAGTCCAAACCATGACATTAAATTGAGCATAGAATAGTCTAGTCAATTTAGCCGGAGACTTCAAAAAACAGGAAAGCCGGAAAGCTTGAATGGGGAATCCAAGTTTCGCTGTATCTCGAGTCCAGTTTTGCCTGGAGAGGTTCCTGGAGTCAACACGCAAAACATCCATAAATCCCCTAAACAGCTCCACGGGACCAACACGAGCAAAATAAGCAGGAACTTGTCCAACATGGTTGATTGAAATGGGGCAACCTCAAGCCGGTGTGTCGTCCAGCAACGTCCGGCGGTGGGCTCCCCGAGTTTCCCAATCCCGGCTCGCAAACCACCCCTCATTCACCATTTTTCCATGCACCTGAGCAATGGGGGAGCAGTTCCACTGAAGCCCTCTCCTCTTGGCTTGCGGCCAACCTTCGGCCGCCAGCCTTGTGTCGAGCACAGCCCGAGAGCTTCAAAGTTATTGGTACGGGTAGAAGACATGCAGCCCCTTTGTTTGACTGAGGGCTCCTTACATTGGATAAACGCCTTGATGACGGGGCCCGCGTACAAGTCGACAACCATTGACAGGAGCTCATGTTAGCCTGCTCTGGACAAGAAAGTCCGGCGGTGAGGGCCAAACACGCCTTACGTCAAGGAAATGTATCGGGCCTCTTGCGATGGAGCCTAAACACACTGCTGAAATAGCCTGCCCTTCAAACCAAATGCAGTGCCGAGCGAATCGGAAGGATCAGTCGGTTTCCATTCCTTGTTGGACTGCTTCGGGAAAGGGTTTGAATCCGTGATCGCAGCACGAAAGAGGTACGCATGTTTCACGCCGCGTTCGCAGAAAGTGGCCGAGCCCGGGTACAATGGACAATTCGACTCTGCTCATCAAATTGGATGCGAGTTGAGCTACTTAAGATGAAATCAGGGCAACGCGATGCTCAGCCCAGGAGCTCTTTCCGAGAACCGGGTGCTATTCGCAAAAGGCCAACAACCTGCACGCCGTGTCAAACGCAAGCATCTCTCCAAGTGATCTGTTTGCTTTGTGGAGCCATTGGCAAACCATCGTCAAGGAGCCCCACCTTGCCGTTCAACGTGGCCGTCGGCCAATGAGACCCATTTCCCAATGCAGGCTGCGCACCCGTCAGTCATGCCAGGGTTCATTGCAGCCCCGGGATCCCTTGCAAGGGAATCCCAAGCAGTGGTTACTCCAACGGGTTGGTTTTGGCTGGGCCCATCATCAACTGCAAAACCTGCAACCCCCAACTCCCGAATACATTTCCAGCACAAAATACACCATCTTGGGTGAGCTCGCCACAGCTCGCATGCATTCTGACAATTCTGGGCACCCGCACCCTCTGGGCATGTCGCCGGACCACGGGACCAGGTGCTGCGAGTGTCCATCTGGCCCAGCGGAATGCTCGGAACCCATCCAACGGTGAACCCTTTGTCTTGCGGGTGGGAAAGGGAAAGCGGAAAGAGACCAACATAGCCCAGCCAATTTTGGCTCCATCATTATGAGGCACGCGCAGTGTCAAGGCTCCATACTGTTCATTTAAGAAGGTCATGCTGGAATACTATCGCTATCGGGAAAGTAGTTCCTCTCTTGGGCGCGGCCCTCCAACAGCCGCGGGCGCTTCACAAACGGAAGGGTGCATGCATCTTGGTCAAGTGGTCTGCCAATATGGCCTGCCCATGGTTCATAAGAGCTAACGTGGAGGGAGATGATGGCTGTCAATGTGCTGGGGGCTACTTAGGGCTTGCTCGAGTGCGATGCTTCACTATCTTGTGTTGTGATTCAACTTGCCTGTGCGTTGTTTCAACCGCATCTAACAATTGCGGATTGGTGCTTGGACTCTTTGCCTGTGACTATCATGCCCTGAGGATCCCTGCTCGTTGCTTGCCGCTAAAAGCCAGCCAATGAACCGAACGAAAACGGCCCCTGAATCGCTGGCATGCGCGCACCGGTAGCGACTATGTGAATTGACTTTGCCTGTCTTGAAACAAATGATGCGGAACAAAAAAGGCTTGGCGCTTTCCGCTGCAGCTGCCTAACCCTGCCTGGCAAGCTCAGCCACGCCACCAATGAGCCATGTTCAGCGTTTCGCCGAAAGCCGAACACAGGGCTTCCAGGCGACGATGCGTGGCTTACACAGAAGGGCTCAAAGAACATGCGAAAGCTTCAGCAAACGAGTGATGCCAGGGATGCTGGAATAGAACATAAAGAAACGTATAGGTGCCGGATGGGCGCACGGGCTTGGCCTGTCTCATGTCTTGGCCGAATCGCGTCACTTCTGCATTGGCAATGCCGGGCCAGGTTCAGCCACAGCCTTCCCCACCAGCTTGCACGGCCGCCTTCTTAGCTTCTTTCTTTGCTTGCATCTCCTGTCTTTATTCAGCCCGTTTCCCCTGAAGCCAGCAAAGCGCATGCATCAGGCGTCGTGTCTGGGCTGTCAAACCTCCAACCGCCTCGGAAGACGGCAATCACGAACCGGCACACAGGCGCACACAGGCGCGCACACACACACACCCACACGCACGCGCGCACGCTTGCACGCACGCACGCTTGTTGCACGCACGCACGCACGCACGCTTGCACGCACGCACGCACGCACACACGCACGCACGCACGCACGCACGCACGCACGCACGCACGCTTGCACGCACGCACGCACGCACGCACGCTTGCACGCACGCTTGCACGCACGCACGCACGCTTGCACGCACGCACGCACGCACACACGCACGCACGCACGCACGCACGCACGCACGCACGCACGCACCCACGCACGCACGCACGCACGCACGCACGCACGCTTGCACGCACGCACGCACGCACGCTTGCACGCACGCACGCACGCATACACGCACGCACGCACGCACGCACGCACGCACGCACGCACGCACGCACGCACGCACGCACGCTTGCACGCATGCACGCACGGATTTGGGCGAAAACGCCCTGACTCTTCCTCAGGCAGCTGACTGTCAATTCATGTTGAACAAATGGAATGTGCTTTCGATTTAAAAGGCCTGCATATGCCTGCATAGTTGGGCTCAGCGGTCAACAGCCTTTGCTTTTCCAATTGCAGCGTCTCTTGTCTGAGAGAGCCATCTGCAGCGGCCCCGGGCACAATGCGAGCCGCAAGTGCAGCTCGAAAGCACCGGCGGTGCGAGGTCGACACGGCCAGCGGCGTGTTCGAAAATGCTGATGTGAACCCCACCGCAGGTCACAAAGCACCTGCACCAACCATTGGCAACGGCTAAACCTAAGGTATCCCTTTCAAAACAACTAAAATCATATCTATGACGCTGCCGCTGGGCCCAATTCAGTCGGATGCTGATGGCGTTAAAAGAGAGCAGTGCCTTAAGGCATCTGCTGGCCTCGAAGGCCCTCTCTCGCCTCTTTGGCCGTGAGCTGAAACACAGCTCCAACCTGAAAAATGCCTTGCAGCTTGGGCGATCAGCAGCCTTGAGGCCATGGGGGATTGCGCCTGCCTCTGGTGCCAACTGGAAATCATGCTATGCCGGGGGAACTTGCCAACACATGCGATCCTGGCAAAGGCGCGAACGCTGCCTCCATAGAGCATCCAAACAAAAGTTTCGCGAATAAACACCACTCGTAGCATCTTCCCTAGCCCATGCGCACAAGCTACAAGACTACAATAGTGGACCATAGTCTACACTGCCAAGCGTCCCGCAGAGCATCATCCGCTGCGACAAGTGCAAGCATCATGAACCTGCAAGCAGGGATGGAGATCACAAAAGGACACACGCGCCACTTCCAGGCATCCTTGAAACAACACGGTCTCAAAAAGAGTTCTAAACCAGCAATATAACTGGCAAGAACAGACGTATAAAAGGCAGGGCCAGGCATTGATGCCTCTCTCGATCCCTTCCAATTGTCATGGCTGCACGCTACTTTTCCTGCAAACACCCCACCCCTCTCTCTGTCTCCCTCTCTCTCTCTTGCGCTCTCTCTCTCTCCCGCATCCTCGAGCAAGTCTTGGTCCCAGGTGAGGGATGCGAAAAACAGGCAGTTGATTGCCATTTTTTCGCGCGGCGCCCGGCAAGGGCGTTTTTGCCCTCTTCTTTAGTCCCGCTTCATTTCAACGAGCCATCTGACTGCTGCTTGCAAATATCAGGACCCTTGCAAACAGCGACATGCTCGTGGGGGCAACGGCCAAGATTTCAAGAGGCGCCTTTTCAAGACCTTGTATTGGGTTAATTGATGCTTCAGCGGCGCTTGGGACTGGCATCATCATGACATCATGAGGGAAACTTCAGCCCATGACTGGCTTGATGGGATGCCAATGCCTCACACCCCAGGAAGGTCTCCTTTTCAGAGGGCCTGGGGGCAAGCAGAAGGAAACCAAAGGGAAGCCGAAGGGAAGCCGAAGGGAAGCCGAAGGGAAGCCGAAGGGAAGCCGAAGGGAAGCCGAAGGGAAGCCGAAGGGAAGGCTAAACCACCCAGTTTGGGTCTTGCCCCTTCATGGCAAACCCACGTCTTGCGCTCCGCAGCTCTAGGAGCCAGACTCGGGGAAGCGCTCTTGGGCGAGATTGGCGGCAAGTGATTCCTGTCGCCGCCCCTCTCAAGCGGCTGGCTGTCCAATATAGGCACCCTCGTGGGGATGGCCTAAGGAACGCCATAGGAACGCCACAAAATCTCAGATCGAAGGAACGGTGCCCATGACCCGGCTCCACAGAGAGAAAAGGATCAAGGCAAGGAACCGCAGGTGACCCTGTGCCAACCTGCGCTTTTCCGGCAAATCAACTGCGCAAGAAATTCCACCGACCCCAAAATACCAGAAGCCTTTGTCCGTGATCTAGCCGTTCTTTTGGGCTCAGCCGGTCATCAAACATGCCCGCCGCGGTCCCGTTCGAGGACGCCCTGAGTCAGGCGCAAAGGTTCACGCTTCAAGGGCTGCAAGACGGAGGCGAAAACGCAAAACTCACAAAACCCAAGTCGGGGAAGTGGCGTGCTATTGAAGCCAAACACCATATGTTCATATATCTTCCACTTGGCTGTGCCAACATCATCCAGCTGGCGTGTATGCACGCAGCATTCAAACACCAGGGCGCTCTCCAATGGTTTCCGAGTTTCTGTTGCGCTTCTTTCTTCCGCCAATCTGACACCTGCCTCTTGACACAATCTCTTGCCTTCAGGGACTCCAACAATGCCCGTCGCTTGCTGCATCTGGGATCTGGGCTCAGGCGACTCCATCTGCCTGGGTGTTTGGACTTGGCCGCAACTTGTCACAAAGCACACGGACGTGAGCTTAAGACCCGACCCTGAGTTTCAAACAAACAAGCATATCTAGACTGTGGTGGAGTCAACTGTGGCACATGATGTACTACATTGGGTTGCAAGTAGAATTTGAGTCCATGTAGTCTAGGTGTCCGTGGCCGGAAGCCACAGCCGAGTCAGCCATAACACCGGGCCCGCGGCAGGGTCTTGTCCTCGCGCCCCTCCGCTTTGCGGAAGTTGGGCCTCGCCGGAAACTTCACCCAGGCTTTCTTCCAGCATCCCCCCCCTACTCCCCCTACTCGCCCTACTCCCTTCGGATGGAGGAGTGCGAATAAGTGGTTGGAATTTCAAAGGCTAGCCCACCAAGCAAACAAACAAAGCAATAACAACCAGCAGGCGGCAAGTTCAAAACCCCAACGGCGAGCTCTTCGACGTGCCCATTTTCATTGGAGACGCCCTGGGTGGTTCCTGGAGTGGTTCCCCTGCCGCCCTCTTGGAGCCCGCTGCTGGCGTATCAATGTTAGCTTCAAAGGGAACTCCCCCTCCCAAGAACAAAACATGTGCTGACTAAAAGGGACCTCCCCTATTAGCATGGCCTCCAGATTAATCCGAAGTCAACATTGCTTAGTAGACCACCGGGAAATGGCTTGGAAGGGGGATTTGGGCAGCGAGAAGGGGACTCTTTGCTACCGGGAGTCCCTTGGTGCCATCAAGAGGTCCCAGAGGTTGTTGGTAGAAACGAACAACGTAAACGCGGCAGAGACAGACAAAAGGCCCGAAGCAAAAGTTGAATCTCTCCACACTTGCGTTGCAAATGCAAAAGTTGAGTCACCTGACATGTCCACCCGTGTTCATTGCCGTAACGCGGCAACAGAACCCAGTGCCATCAACCGTAGAAGGCCAGCTGATTCAGTGGAATTCGACTATGCGTCTGCATTGTAAAGGGCCTTGCGACAGATCCTTTTCTTGCACACCTTTGTGGATCAATCCCAATCTGGGCCAATTGCTCATGGCGCCTGCCAACTATCACTATCAACTCTGCTCCTCCCTCAAGCAGAAATGCCCATTCGGGACAGTTGGGCAGGTTATTCCTTCCCACATCCCTTGGGTAGTGCTCCCCCCCCCCAGGGCCACTCCCCAATTCAACCAGAGGACACACCTGGCGGTCTGGCGCTCGGCTGGGCATTCCTGCGCGCTGGCTGAGCTCGTGAGCTTCGGCGGCTCCGCGGCCGCTTGGGGCGTGACCCTAGCAACGGCTCGATTGGCTTCGGGAGTCATCCAATGCGTGAAACTTCATGGGCACCTGCAACACCCTAACCATTATTGTAGGTGAGATCACGGTGAGATTTGGGCCCAGATTTGGGCCCAGTGTGGTGCCATTTAAGCACCTGGACGCTTAGCCATGAGGGCCAATCTGATAATGAAGTGGTGGGGGAGGGGGGATGTCTTGAATTTGTGGCGTCCAGAACTTGCAACCCCAGCCTGACCCCAGCTCTTCAAACTTGCCTCCCAACCAGCGTTGCAAACCGTCAGTTGTGGGGACGGGGAGGTTTGGGGCACTCAACTTTTTGCCGTGGGCCCGTCAGCTTACCGCGCCTGCGGCAGCTGTTGTCAATCTCGAGCGCTGCAGCCTCCGCAGCGGGCATTTGTTCACTTGAAGGGGGAATTTCTAAAGGGCAAACCCGTGCGGGGTAACACCTGGCAAGTTAAGCTCATGTACATATGTAAAGGAAATAGATTTACGCGAACCCCAAGAGGGTTCTGCGAAGGGCAAATTTTCTACCAAGCTCTGCAGACTGAAGTCTGTTGCTCTCCTTGGCGTTACGTTGCAATTTCACCTTGCCGCGGTGACACGGTAGCTGAAGATGGTGATGGCGGAAGCGGCGAACCAAAGCAAAAGGGTCGGCTGAAGATCTTCACCGGAGGAAAACACAAATGAGCTACCGGGGAGGGGATCACTCGTGTGCAAAAAAGTAGCAAAGGGCATCCCTTTCCGCAAAAAGGAGGGGACCCCATCTTCTTCTTGACATCTCTCGCTCTCTCGCTCTCTCTCTCTCTCTCTCTTTCTCTCTCTCTCCCTCTCCCTCTCCCTCTCCCTCTCCCTCTCTCTCTCTCTCTCTCTCTCTCTCTCTCTCCTGATTCTTGACCTCAATTTTAACTTTCATGTGTTTTGGGCTGGGCCAAACAGGCAAACCCACGTCGGTGGTTTTGGGAAAACCTTTCTGAGAGACCAAAATGAGACTCCCATTCCTACGCGTATGTTGTCAATTTAGCCATGCGGCACCCCAAGAAAAAAAAGAAGTTGTGGTTCAGGGTGTGAACCATTTAGACGATCATGGCGTGGGTGCTGTGACAAGCATGCATCTCACGCACGTGTGGCAATGACGTTGAACCGTTGTAGTGGGTGCTTCTTGCAGGCGCAGCATGCCTCTCTTGGCTGTACGTACAGAATAATGCTAACCCACAATGTAAATCACAATATGTTCTTGGAGCACTGCACGCATGCTGGCCACAGCAAGTCCTCTGGAAAGCACGTGGACAATGTAGGACATTCCCCCCCAAAAAAAGAGAAAAACAATACCCCACCCAAACACCCCCGCCCCTCCAAACCGAAAAGGTCCGATCCTGGCCCTGGCCCCAAAGCGGGCTGGCGGTTGTTGACCCGAAAGCTCGCCTTGCAACGGAGCTCTTCCACCAAGGCCTGCTGGGTCTGCTGCAGCTCCTCTTGTGTCGGGAGCTGGGGTTGTGCGTGTGTGTGTGTGCACATGTGTCCTCGTGTCTGAAAACGGGGAGCCGAAACGCAAACAGGGAATCAGAAGCCAATCTGTGGAAGGCTCATGCAGAGCCAACACAAAACGGGCAACAAAGGTTTCGGATGAACATTATGAACGCAACACACAGCTCCCAGCATACCCTCCGACCCTTACCCAAACCCACACATGGAATATGCATACAGCAGGCTTTGGCTTACGGACACATTCCAACCAGGGGAAGTCCCAAATCCCCAGCTTTGCACCGCCAGTCCTGCACCATAGCTCTCAGCTCTTCCACTCGCACCTTTGTGTCCTGCAAGGCCTGCGCGCGGTGCTCATCCGCATTTGGACATCGCGTGTTCGGCTGCTTGACTTCAAGTGTTTGGCAATCATGAACCCACAGCACGGAGTTTCGAGGGCTTGTCTCAAAATGGTTGGAACCCTCTGAACCCTGTCTTGAGGTGCTTGGCTGGCAATTGGATTTTTGCCATCCCAGCTGTTTCTTACTCATCATGTTGATCCACGTCATATTCAAAGAATGTCATATGATTTTTTGGCATTGCTGGACCGTACTCAGAAAGCCAACGATCCTCGGGACCGATCCTCGCGACCAGCTGACCCCAAAACAAGGGCCAGCAGCTTTATAGGCCATCATGCCAAAGAAGCCCATCTCCTATTTGCCGGGATATGTAAAATCTTTAATCCCGAGTCCTAACCTCTAGTTGGGCACCACAACACCACTACCCAAGGGACAACTCCACCACGCCTTGTCCCCCATCACCGTCTCCAGGCGGCCCTCCTCCTTCGTCAGCGCCTGGCACGCCTGGCGCTTGGTTCCACTTCCGAGCCCGGGCGCGTTGGTCGAGTCATGGCGCCCTGGAGTTGTCAAAAGCCAGCGGATAAAATCGGAGCTCTCTATGCCACGGAGAGCAGGCAGAAATCATGGGATAGAGGGGGGGGGTAGGGGGGAGGGGGGGCAGTGTCTTACACCGTTGTAATCGGCCATGTATCCAATAAAGCATCGATAAGGCTTGTCATGTGTCCAATCAAGCATGGTGAAGGCTCGTGCTTTCACTTGTGGCCTACAAAGGACTTGAAGATTGAGCCTATGACAAGACACCGCTGCTTGGGAGGAAGCATCTCAAGATAAAAAGAGATTGAGTTTCCACAAGCCTGCCTTTTCCAACCACTTAGCTGGTGGCAGATCGCTTCTTGCCTCTGCCAACAGACTTGGGCTTGGGACCAGCCTTGGGCGTGGGACCCGCCTTGGGCGGTTGACCAGCCTTGGGCTTGGGACCAGCAGCCTTGGGCAATGGATCAGTGGAACTGCGCGCGCCGCTGCCGCTTTCAGCGGGTTGGTCGCGAATGCCTGTGAATTCACTGAAGCCCGCAACAACGCGGTGGATATCAGCATCGGTAGGCCTTAGACATGAAAAGCCGGTAACGCCTTCTCAATGTTTGGCAAACGACATGCACTTTAAACTGACAAAGGAAAGTCAGGCTACTCCATGTCTTTGTTGACAGCGTCATCAACAGTGAAGTAGTGCCACGCCCAAAGCTGGCGAACCACTCGGGTGAGCGCTTGAGTCTCTGTCAAGTTCTCCCGCTTTCCTGCCCATGTGGCGTGCTTGCTGCCGCTGCCATAGGTAGTGTCTTGGACTTAGCGGCAGCCACAGTCTCACTGTCTGCACTTTGTGGGGGGCGAGGGGCCCGCGGGAAGCAAGGAACCAGCAATAACTGAAAACATTGAAAACATCCTTCAAGACAACCCCCTGCGAACTGAACAGCCATTTGCTCCAAGCCAAGTGTCCAGGGTAGAAGCCCTGGTATGTCTTGTTGACCGGGTGCCTCTGGATGAAGCACCGTTCGAGCGACCCCTTGCCTGGAAGCAATGGAATCCTTAGTTAGTCAGACTAGCAGCAAAGAGAAGAAGGAAAGACGGCAAACAGTCTTGCGTACAAGCCTCAATTCCTTTGGCGTGTAGTGTTTCTTGGAACTTCTCACATCGATATCATCTCCTGAAAGGGCAGTTTTCAAATTGTGTTCCAATTGGTGCAGTAAGCAGCATCAGCAACTTAAGCCGAGTTTCCACGAGCAGAGACTTGTTGGTTTGCCTTTTGAGCAGTTGCAGCCATGTCCTTCAGCCCGATAAAGTACCCAGCCTGTTGGTTTGCCGGGTCCAAATCCTGAAAACACTCGATGATTTCCTCAGGACACTCCATGCTTGGTTTCTTGACGCCACTGAGGCCAGCCACCATCTCCTCTTGCTCGGCAAGCGACGCTGCCGGGAACCAAGCTTGAACAAGCGCGCGAGCCCAGTCAACTTTCAAGACGCTGCGCCGACCACTTTTGAGTACCTTTCCACTGCCAGTGACTGCTGTCACGCCGTTGTGTTTGCACACCTTTTGCAATAACTTTGCTGGCATCCACACACCCCACCGAACAGCAGCCACAGGCAAGGGTTCAAGAGGCATCACAGGCTTCAGCAAGCTGACGTGTTGTTGAAGACCCTCTTCCATCATCATGGGGTGAACGGGGGCGACCTTTGCCATCTTCCACTTGCACGTGGTTTTCTTAGGGTCATCATTGACAATGAAGTGCGGCATCCTGTGCTCGCGTTCTTCCATTGCAGGAAATGCAAAGAACTCCTGCTCAGCCCAGAAAACACAACACCGCTTTTGCCAACTTTGTAGTGGAACATATGTGCCAGTAACCATTTTTCACGATTGCTCGTACTACAAAACCGAGAGGGAATCGCTAGCGTTTGCCCAACAGGCCTGGCCATTGCACTGGACGGTTTCCAACTTGATAGCTTGCGACGCCCAGGTTCTGAATCCAAGTGTCAGGTACGTTTGCGCTTCAATCTGCACGACGAAGCCTTTCGCGAAAAAGCATCCTGAGGGACCAGTAGTCCATGAACAACAATGTTTAGCAGCCAGCCAGCCAACCAACCAGACCAGCCTCCCTAATCGCCAAGCAACCCCCAATCAACGAATTGTCAACAAAACCACCAAAACAGTGAGCCAAACAAGCCAACAAACTCACACACAAAGACCAACAATCATTTAAAGCTATCACACGCCTGACTGTGCTGCGCCTTCCTAATCTTCGCTTTTACAGAAAGCTGCTAGAATCCTGCTGGAAACTGTGTGAAGCTGCTGAAAGCTCGCCAAAAAGGCAATGGTCGCACCAGGACATTTTTCAAAACAAAAAGGGAAAGCCTGCTTCACAAATCCCAAACTTCCAGCACACAGCAGCCACTCACATTGCCAAGTACCCAGACTTAAAAGGAGGCGCAGGCATTCCAACACTTGTAACTTGTCACATATCTCCCACTGTTTTTACGCCAGTAC